CAACTTTTTCAATCCGACACAAAAATTCTAAAATCTTAAAATGAAGAAATCTCGGCCAGCCAAGTGAAAAGTGGCAACTATTTCTCTATATCCAGTAAAATAAGTTATCTCGAATTTTGGAAATTTTTGGTATTTTTTGACAAAAAACTCTATTTCTATGTTCCATATCAATATTTCAATCATTAACTATTTTTTGACATGTAATTTTAATAAACATTAAATAAAAGTGTACGTTTCTGCAGGAAAATACATTGATTTTTTTTTTTTAATAAAATAAAAACTTCTAAAATCACAAACATATTTGGTTTTATCGGAAGTTCACAGATGTAACGTGGCAACGTAGCTCGTTTTCACATTTTTCGATCCGAAATTGTAAGATTTTTGTTCATAACGCGCCACGATTTTTGTACAGGTGGGTCAATGTGCCTTGAACACCATTTATATATAAACAAAAAAATTATTATATTTATTTTTTAATATTACAATTTTCTATACTTCAAAGCGTTTATAAAAATATATTTACATATATGCACGGACGATGTTTAATATTTTTCATCCGTAAGCAAATCTTCAGTACCATAAAAGATTCAAAAATTTTCCATAGTTTTTTTTGGTTTCAGCTGGTTCCAACTGCTAATGAAGCACAATTTTTATGGTTAATCTTGATGAAAGTTACATGTATCGTCGAGAACATGGTTACATGCAGAATTTAAAATTAATTAATATTATTCTCCATACAAAATTTACAAGTATTGCCCTATTAAATGCAAAGTTATGCGAAAATCTAAATATTTCGTAAACGAAGGGTTAATGGTTTCGCGCACGTGCCAATCTGTTGGCGATTCGCAGAAATTGAATAATTTGTGTGGATGGAAGCGGCGAGGGGAAGACGAAAGCAGAACAATCATGTATATGTGTGTTTATATGTACATTTATAAATGCATACATACTTACTTACATTCTCATTTGTTTGTCTTTTTGGATGCATGAAAAATTTGGTAGCAGAAATAGGTAATGAAATGGAGTTTACAAATATGTGCTTTATACATTTAGGTTTAGTTCAAAAAATGTCTAAGTCCAAAATGGAAAATGGAAAAAAATATCAAATAGTTTCGGCCTAGTTTAGCGAGAGACCTTAAAAAATCTAAAATGATTTTTTTTTAATCCAATACCAATACAGTTTTTTACTTGAAAATATCACAAAAATTGGAAGATGTTATATAATATTCTCGATTTATTTTAACGTTATTTGTACAAATCACCGAAAAGACATTTTTTCCCCTACAAATCTATTTACAAAAAAGGCTAACACCAAAAAAGTTTTAAAGTTGAAAATCTAACAAAATATCACAAAAATCGAAAAAATTCTATATAAACTTTTCGATTTATTTTCACGATATTTGTAGAAATAACCGGAAAAGAGGATTTTTTTTTTGTCAAAAAATGTTTTCACAAAAAACGCAAACACTTATGAGAGTTTTCTATTTGCAATCATTAAAAAAATATCACAAAAATCGGAAAATGTTATATAATATTTTCGATTTAATTGCATGTTACTTGTACAAATCAACGAAAAAATTTAATTTTCTTACTAAAATAATTATTCTTACAAAAAATCGAACACTCCAAAATATCACAAAATCATCAATATTCATATTTAATTAACAGTCCAAACGCTCTCGTGAGATTTAGCTCTGTTAATATTCTTTTCTGCTTTGTATTTTGCTTTCGCTGTTAAGTATTCCAAATATTTGTCGCTCTTAAAATGCGCTTCGCCAGTTTTGTTGGCTCGTAAAATGTGGCATTCACAGTTCTTGGACCTTCTCTATAAATATACGTTCTCTGGACCTGGCTGAGCTCGGATAAATATTCTATTATATAGAAGAAGTTAAAAATATGCACTACATACGCTACAGCGGAAATGGACGACACGCCATTTCTTTAAATCAAATTAATTGCTGCTATATGTATGTATGTACATATGTAGGCATATACTAAATGTGAGCAAACAATACAAACAAAAGTTGAATTATTTTAATATCTATTGCAAAATTTAATATCATAGTACTATGAATATATCGACTGCTGAGTGGAAGATCGACCTATCTCGGCAGCCAGTTCGAAACGCCCTATCTCAAAAAACTTTTCAAGAACGCCCTATTTCAGAATTTGTTTCATAAACGCCCTACCTCCGCTGCCGATTCAAAAAAGCCCTATATCAGCACATTTTTAATACATTTTGAAGTAAGATAGGGCGTTTTTGAACCGAATTCCGAGATATGGTGTTTTTCAATAAAAATCTGAAATAGGGCGTTCTTGAAAAGTTTTTTGAGATAGAGCATTTTCGAATTGGCTGCCGAGATAGGTCGATTTTCCACTCAGCAGTCGATATGAAGCATAAGATGAAAATTTTGTAAGGACAAGACTAAAAAGTAGAAAATAAATAAAATAAAAAAAAAAAACTTTTTAATATACAACACTTTTATAAATGGACTAAAAAGTAGAAAATAATATTTCTCAGTCCCACAGAATTTGTTTTGATAACTTTTGATTTTGAAATTTTAGCAAAAGTCATTATAAACAATTAAAGACATTGAAAATGAAAAGCGTGGGGCGCATGTAATACACTTGAATTGATATGAAAAGTTACATATGTATGTACATATGTGAGCATATGAATAACGACCGCTTAAAATCGATCTCAAATTTGTACTTTCGCTGTAGAATGTTATGTAGTTTGATTATTGTCAATGAAATCGAATGCTTTGTACTGCATGCGCTCCACGTTTCTCGTTTTCAATGTCATTAATTGTTTATAATGACTTTTGCTAAAATTTAAAAATCAAAAGTTATCAAAACAAATTCTGTGGGACTTAGAAATATTATTTTCTACTTTTTAGTCCATTTATAAAAGTGTTGTATATTAAATTTATTTTATTTTATTTTTTGTTTTAAGTTAGCACGTAGTGTTCATGTTTCACTCTTCAGATTCAAAAACGCCCTATATCCGCACATTTTCAATACATTTTGAAGTGAAGCGTTTTTTAACCGAATTCTGAGATAGGACGTTCTTCAACCAAATTCTGTGAAAGGGTGTTTTTCAATAAAATTCTGAAGTTTTTTTGAAATAGGGCGTTTTCGATCTGGCAGCCGAGATATATCGATCTTCCACTCAGCAATCGATATAATAGACTGAAATCTGATCTATGGATGAATGATCTTTTCAATTAATTTATTTTACTATCGAAAACCTAAAATATCAAATTTCGAAAACTGGGAATTAGGCTTTGCCCCACATGGCCATTTTTGTTTAATAGGTAGGGAATTACGATATTTTTTGTGATTTCCACTAAAAAATATTTATTCAGTATAATTATTTAGAATATAGCAATCAAAGTTACATTGATTTGTATTAATTAAAAAGTAAATAATTTAAAAGTATGTAAAGTAAAATAATTTATAATTAATTTTTTCCTTAAGAATGTTTGTATGTAAATGAGAATTACCATTTGTTTAAATGCGAGTAATACATACATATGTATTGTGTTAAGTAGATGGCCTTAAGCCAAGAGCATCTTATTTGCAGTTCATTAAGATCAATCATTTCACCACTTGGTCTTTTATTTGTATATGTAGCTAAATAAATCAATGCATTTTCTACAATTCTTCATGCGCGCGTACATGCTGACGTTCCTTTTCCTTAGGATACGCCCAAAAGTAGGAAGGTAAACCTTTAACATCCCGCTCTCGCTTAACAAATGCACTAAATGACGAAACGCAGTTGCCAATAAAATGATTCGACGAACCCAGAATGGCTAAGTCCAAATGTGGGACATCATTATTCAATTTATGGACGGTAACATTCATACGCGAAAGCGCTGTATTTAGTTCCGATAGCATGTGGTTAGCATCAGCCGCTACAAATATAGAACGTATTTCATTTTTGGGATTACTTTGCTTTACGCTTTTAATCAAACGTTTAATTTGTCTTATGATAAGCTCTTTAGATGGCAAGCAGAGCTCAAAATATAGCGAGCCGCGTTCATTATTATATCCTAGACATTGTGGTGAAGCGAATAGTTGTTGACTATCTCGCACATGTTCGCAGGCGCGCACCCAATCAATACCACTGCGGAGGTGTATACCGATAAAGGCACCCCGGGGTAGTTTGTTTTTGATAAATGCACGCTTCATTTCCTCATATGTATTAGACCAACGCAGGTACCGGTGTAAATCTCTATTTTCCGACTGCACGGGAAAGCTAGCGGGTGCACCGGTAAAAGGAATGACGGGCCATTCTGCAGCAGGAAATTGTTCTTGCCACTTTGAAGCCATGGTACTGTGGTGTACATCGAAATTGAGTGGGCTATAAAACTTGGAGCTAACAAAAGAAATGTTGTAGGTATCCCAAAATGGCCCAAACGGATTTCCATCTTTAGCGTGGCAGTCTGCTTTGGAAACTTTACTGGGACTCAAACTTTTTCTTTCCATATAGCAAAAGGAGATACGTTTACTGGCCGGCCAAACTGTGGGCGCCAAGTGTTGCATAAAATCAGACATTAGAATGACACGATGGAACTCTCCCAATGCCTCCACTTGAAAATATGTATCGAAAGGTACTTGTGTGGACCGTATTTCGCCTTTCCTATATTCCACCCATGGCGGTAAAATGAGTGTGCGATTAATAGCCTTTGCAAAGGCCAAGGCGCCTAGGAAATGATCGGCTTGATTACCAAAGCGGCCTAAAACAATAAGTTTAAAGATGCAATCTCGGGAAAAATTCAATTAAGCATGTATTCATTCTTACCCATGCATGGGCAGTATGCCAAGTAGCCATTAGGGTCAACGGCACTTGCGTTGTCGCAGGAAATCAATAATCCAAATAAAACTATTTTCAGGAATACGTGCATTCCGCCGGCTTCTTTTTCAATATGGGCCAAGGCGAAATTCAATTTGCCTTGAATGGGATGAGCAAAACAAAAACCAAGGCGAATTTATACAAGGTACCCTACAAGAATTGTGATGGGAACTAACATTCTCATTTATCTCCGTCTCCATGGGATAAAATTTATTGCTGTGCAACTGTCATTTTGGTCGCTAGATATAAATTATATCAGAGGCAATATTTGTGTGGGCTTTTTATATCTTGATATAAGCATCTGTGAGATAGCTTCTAAAACGTATTTTTGGCGGATTTAATCACTTAAAAAATTTAGAAAATAGGCTATTTTACATCCAATTACATAATAACAAATATTTTAACAAAAAACAATTCAATATTTGCTTTTATATTAAAATATCAATAATGTTGCCGCCACGAAGTTTTCATGCAAATGAACATGTAGCTGTGAAACTACCAAATTGCCGGCAATAGATGGCAAGATATAAGCTCTGATATATATTGCTCTTGAAGAGCAACCCTGCAGTAAATGTCGACAGTGAAACTTTATCGATTCGCTATTGACTTTGTCACCAGTACTAGTTCCAAGATATGCGACACACAATGTTATTTGCTATAGACATCTCACATGTGCTTGTCATTGCAATTCTCCAGAGGTATTGACTAAGTACTCCCTTTGGGACCATATGGAGACATTGGCACCAGAGATTCTCTACTACCTTTTAATGTTTATTGTCTACACTTTTTTATACCTTTGGGTAATACAATTAATTGAAACACAGATATGTATATTGTTGATAAAAATGTCTTGTAGATAGTTATTTTTAATAAAAAAGGTACTTGGTTTTTGGCATATTTCTTCAAGGCTAGCTAAAC